AGATGATTCAGTGATATTTAATTTTAAACTTTTTCTTTCATTTTCTGATAGTATTTAACCACCTAATTATATCTTAAAAAAATTAGGTCAATAGGATTAATAATAAGTGATATATTTAATTCTGAATTTGTAAGACCCTTAAAAAGGTCAACACTGCGGGTGAACAGGTAATGACGTCACGATACCGGCAACTCGGCGATCAAGTCGCGAGCAGTCGGAGAGATGTGTAGATATTTGCTATACTTTTACCTACAGTGTAGGAAAGTACCGATAGTCTATCAGAAGTTACGTAAGAGCGATAAAGTAAGCCATAGAAATCCATGTGATAGACAAGGATGGCTATAATGAAGGCGGCTAATAGTCAACGCCCATTTCGCCCTTCCACAAATAAGATCCACTTCTTATTTGTGGAAGGGCGAAATAGGCGTTGCTAATCCTACACTGTATATTATTTATCTATATTTTTAAGTGTATAAATAGAGACTGTATAAGAGATATACGATATGCATCAAGTCTTGTTCAAATGCATTTTTCACACGACATATTTATTATAAACATAGAATGACTTGGAATACCTAAATACATTTTCGGATTTTTCTCAATGACGTAAATGGTTCGCTTTTCTACATTTTCTTTTGCGTTCCGTTTTCGTAAAAATTTGTACTAGACTCGGTACTTGTGGATGTATGTGACGACGTGTATGTGCCAGTAGTATTGACTAGTATTTGAAGCAACTCAGAACCATCCTCGTTTTTCTTTGGTTGCCCGTCTAGGGATTTGTAAAATATTATTATTTAAATAAATTCCTTATAGGTCCCCCTCGCCACGTATTTCGAAATTATTGTGGACAGGAACGTTTAGATGGGGTAGAAATTTTTTTTTCGGCATAAATTTTAAAATTCTGCTCTAAATGTTCAAATAATAATATTTACAACCCCCTATACGGGCAACCAAAGAAAAACGAGGGTATTTCTGAGTTACTTATAGATCCCTCTCGCCAACGTATTTCGAATCTTTTGTGAACACGAACATTTAGATGGGGTAGAATTTTTTTTCCGGCATAAAGTTGAAAATTGTGCTCTAAATATTCAAATAATAATATTTTACAACCCCCTAGACGTGCAACCAAAGAAAAACGAAGGTGGTTTTGCATACCGTAGGTGGGGAAACTGTGGATAACATCACACAAACTTTTCATTTTTCGGTAATAAAATAAATATTTCATTCGGAGTCGATTCTGTTGTACTTTTGTAGCCTGGAACTATACAATATTTGTACAATCCTCGGTTTCGACCCATTTAGACATAACAATGATTAAAGAAACTGCCAAGCTAACCACACACCTTATGTATTAACACAGAATGGGATGAGAGCGAGAGCGAGCGCGAGCGGAGTGCTTTGCCAGTCGCCCGTTCCGGTATTATGACGTCAGGCAATGGTTGCTCAACGTTTTTCCGCGCTCTGTTTTCATTAATTTATTTCACACATTTCTCGTTGAAACAAAAAATTGATTTTTGGCATACTAACTAATAAAAGGGTAAACTTTTAGAATATGCAAAAAAAAGTTCTACTGAATGGGCCTATTGTTTTAGTTCATTGCAACTGAGTCAGACGTGCCCAAATGTGTTTCAAGTCGGTGGACAAAATTTTAAATAGTTATAATATTACGCAAGTACAAATTTTTTCTCGATTAAAATATTAATTTCCATTTACTGATTACATTTAATAATAATAGGAATCAATAACAATGATACAGTGCCATAAAAAAATGGGCAAAGCCATGAAGCTGACCAGTGTATCCAATAGTTTTGAGTTTGAGCTTTGAGCTTTATTCTTTCTGAATCCGAATCAAGTCAGAATTCCTGTATAGATCAAGAAACTCTTCTAGAAAGAGGTTTTAGAGATTTCAAACTGACTTGAGTCAGTGATTGGAAAGGTATTGAAATTCATAATATTGCAAAGGTTATTAAAATTTGTTTTCTAATAACATTTTCTATTGAGGATAAAATTTTGTATGTTTATACATATATGAGTAAGCCTTAGCGACTTTGACTTCTCATTTTCAATACATACCTCCAAACATTTCGGCTCGTGTAGCGGCAACGAAGCGGTACCAAACTCTCTACCACACAGGTAGCAAGTTAACGTCCTCTTCGCTGATTTAGCTCTAGGCACAGGCTCGGCAGGTTTTGAAGTAACGGTTGGATTACTGGTCCTCTGCACAGTTTGAGGGATATGGGACGCCTTCTGGACAGGCGGCGTAGAGGTCAGTGGTTTCCTAGGTGGGGAGATTGCCTTTTTCTCGGCATTTGTCTTCGATTTATACTTTATAGCGACCGGTTTTTGCACCGTACTCTTCACTGAAACAAAAACAGAAAAACATTTAAAATCCCCTTACATACTGAAACAGCGGTGTACACTTCGACATATGGAATTATAAAAACTGCATTGGTGTTAGTTGCTCTGCACATACTGAAATATGACTCTGTCCTACAGAGCTTTCATAAATGATTATTATGATTTTTCTTTGCTTCGTGTTGGCAATTAAATTTGGGTAAACTTTAAAATTATTAAAACAATAAGATTAACATCACATTAAAACGCAACATTCTGTTTCATCGGCTGTGATCGGGGTAATTTTTTAAATTTTATTCAACCAATCAATGATTGCATTATCTCGAGCGTAGACGTAACGATTTGCGACTGTTCATTGTAAACGAATCAATAATATTGGTGACGCCAAGATTTAGGGATTTTTCATTACCAGTACCAGCCCTGCAATGTTGGTTGCCTGAGCTCGGCGGTCACGTAGCTTGTAAACATTTATGAAGGCTCTATATACCTAATAATTGAATCGAGTCAATACATCCATACCTTAATTTATAATGTCTTATAATCATTTCATCGCATCAAGACAATTTAGAAAGACTTTTCCCGATCCATGATTTTTTTAAACATGACAAATGTGCTTTTTATTTGGTAGGGCATTATTTTACACCAATCAGAAACAAAAATTAAATTGGGACAAAGAGTTATTTATGTAAAAATTACTATTGGATCTTCATTAAATGTACCTACTGTTAGTTTTCGCATTGGTTGGTTTTCTGCAAGTAAAAACAAAAAATATATTTCCTTAGTTTCCTGGAAAATTACTACTTTATTGGCAGATACTTTAGATTACAAAATATACGATTTCTCCAAATTATTAATCACAATTATAAAGTATAAAATTACAAATACATAAATTCGAATACACTTCAAATTTGACAGTGACATTCAATTGGATAACATGACACTATTACAATAATTGTACTAGCTTATAAAATCATTGAGAAAGTGGCATCTCAGTGCTACCAATTGAAATAAATTCTCCGTAGTTTCATTAAGGAACAGATTAGAGTCCCTTAAAAGGAAATCATATTTAGTCCATTGAAATGTTACATTTTTTTGGGCTCAGCGTGCAAAAGTCAGAGCACGTAATTTTATTTTTTAGGTGTCAAGAGGGTGTTAGTGTAAAGTTAAATCCATGTTTGTGGGGTCTCAACCCTTGTGCATCGGCCGCCATCTTGTAAAAAGGGCTGCGAATGGTTTTTATACTACTACTTACTATATATATCGGGCAAACTATTCGTCGCACAGAAAATTTGTAACCACATTTTTTGTTGCAAATTAAATTCTTTGAAATTTGATACCTTAACTTTTAGTCGTAGAACCAAAAATAACAAAGTTATTAACGAAAATAGATAAAAATTTGGGAACAAATTTTGGTCGTTATAACTTTTTTTCTGTTCATTTTACAAAAAAGTTACATCAAAGCATTTTGATAGAGGGGTTTTCAAGGAATAATTTCCATTACAAACTTTTTTCAAATTTGATTTATTTATTAGGGTTTACAACAATGCGAAACTTACACTATTCTCGAGTACTAGTAAGTATACATTAATATGAATGATTAGGCATAGTTTTCTCTCATCTTTCCAATATTTTTATAAGAAACATTTTATGATTGACATTGCAATGTTGTTAATTAGTTATTGATTCTTTTCACCACCCTCTACGAGGTAGAGTTTAGTGGCGCGTTTTTTATACGTCGTATCCCTAGTAGGCAGAATCCACGGACATTTTCTAGCTGACATAATAATTAGTGTAATTGAAAATATCGAAATATATTTCCCAATCTACTGTGTCCTCAGTCTCTTTGATAGGCCAGGCTGCGACTCAGGATCTGGTTGAGCTTCCAATATTGAATTGTTGAGGAAGGATGGAGAATGAAGTGGCGTCATTGTTGGAAGTTCATCTTCAAAATCATTCTTCTCGATCAATTTTGATATCTCCATTATGTTGCTGCATGTCTACCTAGAACAATTCAGGCACACTGTAGAACATTTGAGGCCTGCCTTCCGACATCCACACATTGCTCCACAGTTTCCTTTGCCTCGGCAAAATATCAACTTTAGAAGCTCAGGGGGTGCTGGAGGTTTTGAACTTTGAACAAGCATCAATATTTGTCCATATGTTTTTCAGACCCAGTCTTGAGGGTCGTTGTAATTCCCGAGCCACGACTGGACCTGATGATAGACTCGGAGGCTGTGCAAACGGGCTGTGTCTTTTGTTGGAGAAAGTGAAGACAAATTAAATGTATTCTTTGTCACTGACTTGGCGAATCTTTTATATCTAAGACTGTCAAGAGAATCATCATCTTTAATGCCACCATATAAAGAGATGAAAAAACGTTCGCCAACGGCAGTGAGCAAAGTAGACGTTGACTCTCTCATTGAGGAATAACGCTGTTCCACTAGCTAACTCAGGACGTGTCTTCAGGGTTGTGGGAAATTTCATTTTACCGATGTTGTAAGCTGCTGAAGTCGTGTCACATCCTGAAAGGCATGGAGAAACAACAGATTATCCACAGTGACGTCTCCGTACATAAAACTTGACGGACAATATAATTGTTCGGCTGTACGTCCTTTTGATGGTTAAAAAAAATACATTTGAATGTGTTCTTCCAAATGCCGTGATCGGCGACAATAGTGACTAAGTCGAACGATTGGGATGCAGCAAGAGCGGAACGAACGATGAGGGTATCTGCATCTGATTCTGCTTGGTCGACACTGAATCCCACCTCTTGTCCACAAAATTCAAAATAGTGTCCACAAAACTCAAAATACTTTTCACAATTAAATACGTCACGCACGCACGTGGTAGCACAACTGGAAGAAACCTTTGAAGGACACCTCCTATGCCTAATCATTCATATTAATGTATACTTACTAGTACTGGAGAATAGTGTAAGTTTCGTATCGCTGTAAAACCCTAATAAATGAATAAAATTTGAAAAAAGTTTGTAATGGAAATTATTCCTTGAACCCCTCTATCAAAATGCTCTGATGTAATTTTTTTGTAAAATGACCAGAAAAAAAGTTATAACGAACAAAAGAAAATTCGTTCCCAAATTTTTATATATTTTCGTTAATAACTTTGTTATTTTTGGTTCTACGACTAAAAGTTATGGTATGAAATTTGTATAGAATTTAATTTGCAACAAAAAATGTGGTAACACGTTTTCTGTGCGAGGAATAGTTTGTCCGATATAGTAAGTAGTAGTATAAAAACCATTCACAGCCCTTTTTACAAGATGGCGGCCGATGCAGAAGGGTTGCGGCCCCGCAAACATGGATTTAACTTTACACTAACCCCTTCTTGACATACAAAAAATAAAATTGCGTGCTCTGACTTTTGCAACCCCAAATGTAACTTTTCAATGGACTAATTTATTAGAATAGGTATGTACAAACTTGAAGATTTCAAAATGGCATGTAGACTAGTCAAAATTCTTAAAACTGGTTGAGAATATTTAGAATCGTTCTCTTCATAAATAGAGATTTATAATTGTGGCCGTAGATAACCGTCTGCTTTTTTTGCCCATTGGTTTCGTTTTTAGACGGAAAAAATATTAATTTAATTTTAGGATATCATCAGTTTTACTTTAGTTGTCTTTTATTGTCGTTCTATTAATGTTTAAGTAATGTATTTTTCTAAATATTTATTTTTATTTGTTTTTTTTTTGTGAAAGGGCAAAACTATATGGAATATGTGTCGGTAAGTGCGAATAAACATATTAAAGTGGTTCATATATGCAGTAACAATGAATTAATGGACATAGTGGTAATATATGGAGCTGTTAATGAAAACTGTGAGTTAACTGCATATCTTTATATACATCGAATTGTAAATACCATCAGCGGTGCCAAAAATGTTCCTTTGTATTATTGTGGTATGTCAGTAAATACTGTAGTGGAGTCACTGGTACTAAAAAAGTTTATTTATATTATTGTGGTAAGTCAGTAGGCTTAAAGTATATACCGGGTGATTCAGTTTGGTATTCGCGGGCCTGTATCTCTTTTATTTTAATAAATAGCTATAAGAAACCCTATATATTTTTAAATCGCTGCTCAAACTCTATCAAATAACTTTATTAGATCGTCTCCATGGTAACATATGTCAAAATTGCTATAGTCAACTGTTTTTGTTCAAATGGCACACTATATATTTTTTTTATCAATTCTGGAACATATTTTATTTCTGCGTTCAACTATGTAACGAAGTCTATGTAAGGAAGTCTATAGCTTCATTAGAAATATTGCTAGAAAAACAGCAAAAAAGATGAACCCTACTTTTCGTAGTTTTATTCTGAAAAATATTTTTAATACAATAATAACATAATTTAAAACAATACTTATTTCAGATATTCAAAATGACCTCCATTTGCTTCCAAACGCAAAATAGCTCTGTTTATCACTCCCTCTCTACAAAAACATTCTAGTGTTTTTTCATGTAATCTACGACATTCTACTCTTATTCTGTTTTTAAGGTCGTCAATATTATTTAGGTAAGGCCAAAGAAAGAAATCTATAGGAGTGAGATCCAGAGATCTAGCAGTCCATTTAACTTTATCGAATGTTCTTCATCTCTTGCCCTTCTGGGTTTAAAAACTCTTCTTTTCATTTGAAAACTTCCATCTGCTGTCAAATTCCTGGCTAACTTTCCGAAAATTTTATCTGATGGAAGTTGTCTCTGCGGAAAACGATGTTGGTATAAATACCTTGCAGCTTTAATGTTCTTTCGGTCCTCTTCATAAATTAAAATTATATCTAGTTTTTTTTTTTTGGTTACTGTTATAATTAGTTATAGATAGAATAGGTAGGTACAAAATGTCAATTATTTTGACAAATCGTTATTTAGAAACGTCAAAATTCAGTTGTTTCCGCAGAATTGATAAAAAAATATATAGTGTACCACTATAGCAATTTTGACATATGTTACCATGGAGACGATCTAATAATATATTTGTTATAGCTAT